AAAGATGACTCGGAACTTTCATTACAAAAAGGGTGCTAACACTGCAAGATTTCTACTGTGAACATAGTAACTCATTACTGGATCTAACATACTTCGTGTTAAAGAAATATTCTACTGCGACAAAGAATCTAGAGAAGAATTAATGAACTGCCTCTAATAAGAATGATAAACTTGATGACTACTAAGTTTATTTGCTCCTGCATTTTAATTTGTACCCACAGATCAATACTATTAGTAAACTTTACTGTTTTTTATAAACAGATTTTTAATAACATTTCTATTTTAATTCCAGAATACTGTTTTACAAGTAGAAAGTATACAATGTACCGTAGTGTGGTCTTTATTTACTTCAACTTTGTTTATTGTTAACAGTATAATGTAATACCTCTAAAACTCTGTCTAAAGTGTTTTTATAGTGCTTCGTTATCCCACAAAAATGTAACGTGAACCTCGACTGATGATGTTTACTTCAAAGAGTTGAAACATTTCCATTATTCTAACTAAAATTAAGAGAAGCCATCTTAAAACTTGAAACGCCATATATAGTACTCAATAAATTTGTTTAAATTGTTAAACTTTGAAACCAGCGTTTGACATTTTAATAAGCAGGGGTTCTTTGCAGTATGTTTCTTCACTCATTAATGACTGTGTTAAGTAATTAGATTGAATATTAATACTCTGTATCTAAGTTTGATTTGTATCTTTACTGATATTAGTAAAAGAATACTATTCTATTTGACTGGTGGAAGGTTTTTGGGCAACTTTCCCTGTTCATAGCTATAATTTCGATGTAAAAGGTGGATAAACAATTCAATGAAATAAAATTCGATCACCAGTAAAAATCACGACCTATCAATGGACATCCTGAGTTGTTTTTCAACATAAGATGAATAGTAAAGTAAGAATCGTATCATATAAAAAATAAATATAAACCGTAAACTCCAAAGAAGAGTGATAAGAGTTTTAGTTAGTTTCAGAAATGTGTAAAGTACTTTGTTAGTTAAAATAGTTTAGGTACATTTTTTTGTATGATTTTTTTTTAGTAGGTTAGTTTTTAAGTAATATATTTTTGTACACAAATTCCTAACCATACCAATACTTAGTACTTTTTCATTTACACCTTACATTGTTTGAGAAAGGTTCGCCTTGTAGAGCAGACGATGCATCACGGCCTGACATCTCATTCATTACACACTTTACAAGAAGTTACTCACTGAAGATTTTTTCCCTTGGTAAGTAGCTACATAGATTAAACACAATGAATTAATTGTACATACATATCAAAGATTTAGGCCACCTGAGAAAATCTTACGCCTATAACACGAGGAGTATTGATATTTCAAGTTTATTTTTTGTTCTTTCACCGAAGTCAAATCTTTTTTGAACGAATACAAAGATTTCTTAGTGCTTGCTTCGTATGAACCAGTGTGAGTTGAGGTCAGCAACACTACATAATCTTATTTGCAAGCTTCCTCTGTGTATATGTTGTTCCTTAATGTTTTACTTTAAAGCAATCGATAGTCCAATGTGTCAGACATATCGATAGTCAATCTAGTTTAACAATCGCAACAGGCCAAATAAACTATTATCTCGGTGCCAGATTTTTTATGTTGGCTAAGTTGAGAGACGATATAAGGTATTTTAAATGTAAGATTGTATAGAAATTGTTCTACGTATCGGGAATTTATAAGTTTGAGAAACAGCAATGTGTGACAAAGGAGCAGACAAGAAGTTATGCTCCTAGCGAGCAGGAGCTTTACGAGACGTGGCGCTAGTCGCCACAGTCATATAGACTTGGACTTGAGTTTAACACTCGACCAAAATCTTATTTTGAACATTCAATCATTTACTTTTAGCTCGTGTGAGAAAGTCTGTTTATCTGATGTAAGGATAAAATAATGTTTTAATACTTCCAAATCATGTGATACTAACAAACGGTATGCTATACTCGTGGAGATTCAATTATAGACATGGTAATAAATATCAATGTACACCTGTAGAAAAGTTAAAAACTTAAGAAAGACATATACTAATTTCACAAACCTCTCGTAAAAACCACACGGACGCCGGGGACGTGGTAAATTAATAGATTAGCTTACACAATAATTCATGTTTACGTTTACTAAGTTAACGCAGTTATAAGCGTTTTGACAACTGTGTTGGGTTTAGTGTTAGCTATTTTCTATCAAATCCAATTTTTAATATTTGCTGAGCTTATAATTTTTTCGTTTTGTTAAACTATATCTACTTTTATAAAAGTATTGTCAGGACGATATTTTTTTTCAATCGATTACTTAAGATTACGCCTTGGGTAAGAATTGGAATAAGAAACGGGATATTGTTGTAGGCCTCCAGCTTTATAATTTTTCACAAATACCCTAAAACCATACAGAATTTGTTTATTTCCCTACGAAACGTTTTGAAGTAAGGACATTCCATGGTTAGTGTTGGCCTACTTCTATAAAGTTTTCCTTTATGACTGAAAACGTAGGAATGCCTTATTGATCTTCTAGTTCCACCTGCGACCTACAAAAGAGCACGTTTCTCGATTATTAAACCTTTCTTACTCACCAAACTCTTTCTCACTTTAATGACTGAATATTTAGATTTGAATTTAATCTGTGAGTTGTACAAAGAAGGGTTTAATCGTTTACTAACATACAAAAAACAAAACAAAAAACATCAATGATTTATATTTAATAATTAAAAGTTTAGCTTACAATTTAGCTTTGCTCTAAGATTATGGCTAATAACATCTAGCAGGAAACCTGATTGCATCTGGAATTTTAGTGTTTTAATATTCATAGATTCGATCCTGCTTAAAATGTAATGTGAACCTCGACACACCTTGGATTTAAGAGGGCCTTACCTCATTTTTAGAATCATTTTATGTTGTTTTGCAGTAGCACTGACGAACATACTAAAAACAAAGCAAATCACCTTTCATAACGATCATTGAACTGGATAAGTGCGAGAATATTTCTTGCAATTTTGAAATTCCTTACACCACTTAGACTTAGGAATGTTTCCACTTGTTATTGCCCATAAACCTGAATACTGCATATAAAAGTAAAGCGAACTAAAGTGGCGAACACCACACAATATGTCCTACAGCCGGACTTTATGATCCTAACTAAACTGTTTTATGGTAACTACTGCACGTGACATATTTCTACAGATAACAGGGACAGACAACTGGGAATAATTGTGTGAAATTAGTGTATAACCTGGACTGAGAGGTATAGAAATAACCTAAATAAATAAAAAGATATCTCGATGGTACCACGATGGTATTTGTATTTTACTGGCTTTACATAAAAGTAAGGATAGAATTGGGTTAGATTAGGTTAAACAAAAATGGAGACTTTATTTTGTAAACATACTATTGATACAGTTTCGTTGAATAATACTTGTCAAAGAATAAGGCCAGTTATTAAAAAATACAATACAAAGTTATTACTTTTTATCAGTATTACAAAAAAAAATACTAAAAACGATTTTTTAACACATCATCTCAATATTTATATACAGGTGTTCACAAAAGGTCGGGACATAATTTACGTAGTGATTCCTTGGGTTAAAATAAGAAGAGAGCCAAGAATAAAACTTTATCAAAAATTGCTTTGATTTGTTTAGCCATTTACATATTTCCAGATTTTTACAATGTGAATTTTTCATCACAATTTTCCATTTTTAGTGTTTATTTTTATTTTGTTGTTTTTGCAGAATTTGTAAGTTAATTATGGTTTTTAAATTCTAAAAACAAATACTGTATATTCAAAACTGAGGAAATATTTACATATATTAAAAACAAAACTGACTCAATTTTTTATACAAACAATTTATAGTTAAAGAGATAATACAAAAAGTTAAGTGAAGATACATAAAAATACCCCCGCCGCAGCAAACCTGCAGACTAAGCGAATTTCCATTTGACTGATTGGATTTACACTGAAATGTCTATTTAAAAATATAACATTTATTCCCTATTTAAAAAGAATTAGTTTAACAAGTACTTTGGTTTGCTGCATCAGGAAAGGTAAAACTGTTTTTTTGTAAAATGTTAATAGTTAGTATGAAATAAAAACATTTTCCAAATTTGATCAAAATATGTTCATAAACAAGCAAACTACAACAGTTTACTTATTCTCCATAAGAATAACATGGGAATTTTAAATTTACAATTTTTTGGAATTTTCTCCGTAACCATTAGGCACATAATAACGCTTCAATATACTAAATTATTTGTTTTTTTAAGCTCTACAAAATGGTTTGAAAAGAAATTGCTAAATTTTATGTTTTTTGGGTCAAAATGGGAAAAACCTATTTTTACCCCATAAAACCCCCCGTAAACCCCCGTTCCCATGGTCCGATCATGCTGGATCGCGAACTCGTTCGAATAAACGTAGGTTTACACGTTTGTACCAAATTTCATCAAAATCGGATCATTTTTGCTCGAGTTATCGTGCTAACGGACACACACACACACACATATATATATATATATATATATATATATAAATATATAAATATGAATTTGAACGGATGGTGTTTTTGGCCTCTAGGGACCTCAAAACGGAAAAAAATCGGCCCCGTGTCCAGGTCTTACCATGAGTACTACGGTAATAGCTTATTCCCTATATGGGAAATTCGCTAAAAAGTGTTTGCATACTTTTCTAATGAACATTAAATTCAGCATCGAATGACGTTAAAATCATTAAACTAGGTTCAGTCGTTCTGCTACAACAGATCGTCAATTTCATAAATTTTAACCGAAAACTATAGCATACACTGCCATCTGGCGGAACTCGCTGTAATTTTCAGTAATAGGATGACAAGGAGAATGTTAAAATTACTGAACTTTGACGACCTGTTGTATCAGAACGACTAAACTAATTTTAACGTCATTTGACGCGGAATGCAATGTTCATTAGAAAAGTATGTAAACTCTTTTTTTGTGGGATGCATAGTTTTTAAATTATAAGCGAAAAACTAAAAAAATGAGCGATTTCGGCCTATTATTTGGCCGTTCATCCTTCGCCGTTCACAGTTCATCGTTCACCGTTCATCCTTCACCGTTCACAGTTCATCGTTCACCGTTCATCCTTCGCCGTTCACAGTTCATCCTTCACCGTTCAACCTTCGCCGTTCACAGTTCATCATTCACCGTTCATCCTTCGCCGTTAACAGTTCATCGTTCACCGTTCATCCTTCGCCGTTCACAGTTCATCCTTCACCGTTCATCCTTCGCCGTTCGCCGTTCATCCTTTGCCGTTCACAGTTCATCGTTCACCGTTCATCGTTTACCGTTCACAGTTCATCGTTCACCGTTCATCCTTCGCCGTTCACAGTTCATCGTTCACCGTTCATCCTTCGCCGTTCACAGTTCATCGTTTACCGTTCATCCTTCGCCGTTCACAGTTCATCGTTTAACGTTCACAGTTCATCGTTCACCGTTCATCCTTCGCCGTTCACAGTTCATCGTTCACCGTTCATCCTTCGCCGTTCACAGTTCATCGTTCACCGTTCATCCTTCGCCGTTCACAGTTCATCGTTCACCGTTCACAGTTCATCGTTCACCATTCATCCTTCGCCATTCACAGTTCATCGTTCACCGTTCACAGTTCACCGTTCTCAGTAATGGCCGCCATTTTGAAATTTGATGAGCCTGATCAAAGATATTTTCGGAAAATGTTTATAGCTGTAGACTTAAGTCTATACCAAGTTTCATAAAAATATCTCCAAGGGCTTTTGAGTTATAAATTGTAAAAAAAATACAAAATGGCGGATTATGCCTAAACTAATCCGAAATCGAAAAAAAGTTATTCTACATTTTTGACTTAATTATACTGGCCGTTTAAGCCTGAAATTGACATTGTAAATGTGTAAATAACTCCAATGCCGACACTGAAAATCTACTATTTATTTTTATTTTTGCCATATTTATTATGAACAAAAATGAAAGTAATTACTACTATTGTTTTATTAGATGGTATATAGTTACTGTTTCGCAGAAAACCTATGATATATTATTGGATTAAATTTCCATTGATGTCAAAAGCAATATATTATTTTACTAGTATTGAAAAAATGTTAATGTTAAATTTTATGAATATAGCTATTGAGCGTGTATTACGCCATGAGTTATGACTTTAAACGGCGCAAATTATATTTAGTCAGATAAGTACACACCTGGCTTGCAATTAATGGCAAATTATTACCAGCAAAACTACGTACAGAGATCCAACTACATATAGTTGTGAATGGTTCAACCAATTTTTCTTTGCCATGGATTTAATACTGTGGTTTTCCATGGTTTTTGGACCATTTCTGGTAAGATCTTATCTGAATCTACTTGTATTAATTGTCCTTTTCATAATTTCTAATAAGTTTGTAATTAAAAAAAATATTTTCATGTGTTTTTATTGTTTACTAGCAGATTACCCGTCCTTCGTACGAAACGGCACACGGAAGATTTCTCAGGTGCCGTTTGACGTCACCAACTGCTGATGTCACTTTGAGGGAACACCAATACCGCAACGTTACGGTATGAGCCATCGGCCTCGGTGGTGTAGTGGTTAGCGTGTAGGGCTGATAATCCTATTGTACCGGGTTCGAATCCCGCTGGTAGCATTGACTTTTTGACAACATTTTTTTCATATCAGCAAGTTTGGTTAGTTTGGTTAGGTTATGACAGTTAAATTTTATAATTAAAAAATTATAAAATTCAATTTTAGGCATTTATAATTTCATTTTATGAACAAAACTATTTTTTAGATTAGTAAACCTTTATTCGATTTTTCCATTATCGGCACGTTTGGTTAGTTTGGTTAGGTTATGACAGTTTAATTTAATAATAGAAAAATTATAAAATTGTCTGTTTCTTCAGACGCAGCAGTTAGTGACGTCAGCAGTTAGTGACGTCAAACGGTACCTGAGAAATCTTCCGTGTGCCCCACCGGTCCTTCGTACGGGGTTGGTGTATAAGTGTAACCAAACAGTAAAGCACAAATCATAAAAATTAACCCTAAAATGATACATATATTTTGTCGACAGTGATCATATTGTCACACAATATTATCAGAGATCAGTGTCATCGAACATGAACTTGACACAAAAACGAGCTTCAAAATTTACAATGTGATGAGAAGACTACTGGTATTGTTTAGTCTATGGTTAAATTTGTAACACAGCAAAATGATTGTTTTTCATCGATCATATCATATGTTCCTATTATATTATTATGATAAATGTGTGTATCATGTTTTTACACGTCTCGGTTACACAGCTGCTCAGGATTTCCACAAATTGATTGTTTGATAAATGTGACTATATTGTTGCAGATTCATCAGAGCTTAGCATTTGGGTTTGGATCGAGTGTCAATGGCCACGGTAAAACCAATATTCATTAAATCATACTCTGTTATTTAGATAGTCATTTCAAAACTTAGGTAACAACACGTAGAATATACAGACTGTCCCAAAAGTCCCGGACCGGTTTAATATTTTCTAAACGACAGCAGATAAATCAATAAGATTTTGCACATCAACACCACACTTAAAAATCTACTTTTTTAAGGAACTATCAATTTTCTGTCATATCATGGGGACGTCCCACGAGGAGTCAGAAGGAAATCTTAAATAGGAGCATAGGTCAATATGCACATCAGTTTAAAGGGCTTAGCTAGCAGAGTTCAATGCCGGAAACCGCGCCTCGAAAGGATCACCCGTTACAAAATGGTGGCCGTTCAAAGATTTCTTGAACCTGCCATTTTGAATCTTTGAACGACTGCCATTTTTTACTCAGGCGTTCTTTTGAGCTTGAGTTTACGGCATTGTAATCTACTAGTGAAGACCTTTAATTTGATGTGCATATCGACCTATGCTTACGTTAAAAATGTTTTTCCGATTCCTAGGGCTGTGCCCCCAAATGCAAATTAAAAGAATCTTTGAACCACTGTCATTCTTGACTTGGTTGTCCATTTGATTTCAAATTTGCAGCATTATATTCTGCTATTAAAGACCTTTAATTTGATGTACATGTCAACCTATGCTTCTATTTAAGATTTCCTTCTGACTCCTTGCGGGACGTCCCCATGATGTGACAGAAAATTTATATTTCCATAAAAAAGTATATTTTTAGGTGTGATGTTGATGTACCAAATCTTATTGATTTATCTGTTGTCGTTTAGAAAATATTAAACCGGTCCGGGACTTTTGGGACAGTCTGTATAATGTGTGAGTGTGAGTGTGTGTGTGTGTGTGTGTGTGTGTGTGTGTGTGTGAGAGAGAGAGAGAGAGAGAGAGATAGAGTTCAAAGCAACTTAAAAATCCTCAGAACATTTTAAATTTAAACTTCTGCAAATGGCAGAATTGGTCCAATGCATCCAATACTAATTTACCTATCCATGACATCAATATTGTTTAGTCTTCTAGTTCGAGTGTGACATTTAAAGAAGTTGTCATTGACAGAAATTTGAAGTTTTCTGGACACATCGACAAAATTGACAACCGATTTAGTTAGTAATTTCTTTCTTTGTTGTCTCTCCTGATACTTTAATACTTTCCAACGAAATGGAAACCGTACAAAGTAGGTATTTTAAACCAAGTATGAATGGAGATGAGTGTATCAGACAGACGTATCCTTCTTACAGCTTATTATAGGCTTGTTTGTCCTTTTCATGATGTGTGAGTGTATGGGTCAAAGACACCTTTAAAACCTATCCTTTCTTCGAAAATTGTTTCTATAATAATACAATATTTCCTTTCCTACTCACATTGAACGATTCATTGAATGAATCATGACTTTAAAACGCGTACCAAGAGGTGGTCAAAACGACATTTAATATTTTAGACCAATTTTAAAGAATCTAAATTTGTTTTGAAAAAAATTGCAGACTATAAAGTCTATTTAACTATGTGACCCAGGTTTCTCTGGTTTTGCCTTAACAATATCAGAAATAGCACAGTTAAATAATACCATTAGTAACAATTATTAATAAAGCCACATGATTTATTTCAGTTATGTTCTGTCCTAAACAAATTGAACGCTTTGATGGTTTAATGCAACACTACACGGCAATCAAACCAGAGGATAATATGAAAGATCGTTTGATGCAGGACACAATATCATTCGGAGACAAAAATTTGGTTGTTAAATGCATACAAGATAACGACGAAGCTACGGTGTATATATACGCCCCAGAAGGATACTTGGTAGATAGAGTGAAGATGAGATTCAGTAAAAATGTATGCAATAATGTGAAGGATCGTATAAGTCTTCGTCAGAATCCGCTTGAGTTTAAGGATAAAGAAGAGTTATTATTCACTTTGGTGTACACGTTTGGTGAGGGGTGGGATGCCGTGTGCATCTCTAGGTTTTACATGCTCACCACTTTTGAAAATTACTATGCCAAATTGGAGAGACACCGCCCAGAACGGCAGGATTGCGGAGATAAAATTGTGACTGTAAGTTTAAAAGTATAAGTGTAAATATTATTACATAGTATACATGAGGTTAAGTTACCTTGATTCTGTCCAAGTAATCCTTTAAGTCGTCATTAGTTCGACCGGTTTTGATGTCTATGATGGCATCATTGTCAAGCTGGACGTAAAATTGCTCCTAGGAGGTCGTCATGAGTCTTGAAAAACACGTAACACATATAACACGAACACAAACAAAAAACTATAAAACGCATGGCCACACAACTAATTAACAACACGGCGGCGGGCAAGATGCATGGAGTAAAAGAGGTGGGCCAGACAGAGCGCGCCCCTCTCCCCCCCTCGCCCATCGGACCGAGGCAGTGACGTCACTGCAGTCCTCGAGCCGCTACTCACAGCCCGTACACAACACTTTTAGATGTTATTTTGCGTTGTTCACGCCAGTTTGTACTACGTAATTGTTAAAATTGGTTTTGCTTGGTTTTCAATATATTAATATGTTATTCCTTATTATATTACTACTCAAATATTAGAGCAATTGTTGATTAAATTTATGTCCATTTCTGCAATTGTTGTTATGTCTCTAAGGATCTACTCTGATCCGGTAAATAGCAACTAATTTTATGATCTATATATTTTTAGGATAGCCTTCTGAACTACAGTTGTCCATGAATATATTTATTGGTAACTAAATTAGATACCCTTAAGATTTTTCAAATTATTAATTAAATCAAACAAACATTTTTCACTATACAGATATGCCAAATAAAAGTAGCTTTTGGTAATGTACAATCATTATTAGATTAGTTTAATTAGGAATTGAGATTTATATTTAATATTTTTATGAATGGAAAGAAAACGCATTTGAAATAAAAACACTTTATTTACCAAGTGTATCTCTCACTATTGGACATGTAATCAGATATAATATAAACACATTGAGTTATTAGAGTTATTGAAATCTTTTACTTACTCTTAAATTTACTGACGATGACGTTTCTTAGTTGATTGTTTTTGATTTTTTGTTGCCGTTCATTTGTTTTTGCCTGTTTAAAAACTTCAATATCATTAGACTCTAGAGTCTAGACTCTACTATTCTTCTTTGAGCAAATAGCTCAAGACGGTCTAGAGGTAAACAATTTACTTTATGGCGTATGACTTAATGTCTTTACTTTCTTCACAGGGTCATTTATTCATATCAAAGCATTTTAAATATTTAATTTTCAATTTTAAAAATTACAATTCCTTTTCCAAACTCTCAATTTTTATTTAGCCTACATTGCGATGTTTTATTATTACAACACAGCTTGCACAACTTTTTTGTTTCCCCGGTAAAGTTTTCTGAATTTTCGTTTTGTCGAGCATTCCTCCGCATCACTGCGATAATACTGTGTTCAGAAAACACAAGTTTGATTCAGGGCTCACGAATGTTAAAGATTCCCCAAACCCAATAATCATGAAATTAATTTCTTTAAACATCTTCAAAATAAATATAAAAATGTTTGAAATCCAAAAATCGTTTCTTTTGCACCTTTTAATAAAGACAAAATTTTTTTCGAATAAAATATGACTCTTATGTCGGATTGAGTTTTAGTCTTAAAATAGGTAACTATAGCTAGAGGAAAACGCATACCTAGCATTTTTTATCTCAGAAAGTAAAGTAAAGTTTTCAGAAAGTAAACTCGTATAAAAACACCGAACAACGTGCACTTACATAAAAGAGAAAATCCTTTTAACACGAAAATAATAAAGTCTAAAATGAAATATATGTATATACATACGGTATTGATATTTTTTCTTTAAAAGTACCTGTGAAACAAGCTATCCTCGGGGAAAATCATTAGTATTCTCTGAGCGTATTCTTTGGTCAATGCCATTTATCCAAACAGATTTTTGTGGTCTATTTAATTCCTGTAAAATAGTAATGCAGTATCGTAGTTGATTTTGATTGGTAAGCAACATTTATGATTCTCATGTAAAATATTATATAATTGGTTGTCGTTTTTTTGTATCAACAAACCCAAATAAGTTTATCATTAAATAGAAAAAGAAGAAATTAAAAATGAAAAAGAAGGCGTTTAATTTCTAACTAACACCACAAAGCAGTTGAAGTTACTTTTAAACAGGCAACTTTTTTAATTAGTGCTAAAACATATATTTTATTAATTAACCTGAAAAAGGGGAGTTTTATATCTTAATCTAAAATTATTCTAAAGTGTAATTATTATTCCAACTGAATCGGTAGACGCCCGCATTTCATAGCTTTCTATGCAACATACAGGCCTAATTGGTTATTTACTATTGTCAAACTGTTCACAATTCATGGTAGCTAAAAATCATAAAAATCATTAGTTAGTACACAAAGATATTTGTTTCATAACGGGAAATACCTCCTCCAAACCAGCTTAAATCGTGTCTGAAAAAGTAGGTTTGTGCGTTTAGCATGCATCTAGCGGCGAGGCAGCCGCGGCCGGGACTGCAGTGACGTCACCGCGCGCAGTCCGCTCTGTCTGGCCCACCTTTTTGGGCGGCGGGTACAAGGTTGTAAATTAGTTGTGTGGCCATGCATTTTATCGTTTTTTGTTTGTGTACGTGTTATGTGTTACGTATTTTCAAGACTCATGACGACCTCCGACCTCCTAGGAGGAGCGATTTTACGTCTAGCTTGACAATGATGCCATCATAGACATCAAAACCGGTCGCACTAATGACGACTTAAAGGATTACTTGGACAGAATCAAGGTAACTTAACCTCATGTATACAATTAGTGAAGTAATCCGGAAGGCAATACACGATATTATTACAAGTGTTATTCAATGTATATATTTTTGTTTTTTCAGTTTACGTCATATGACCACAGACAACTATGGTACACTATGGACAACTAGGGAACATGCAATTGTACACTTAAGTGGTGTCTAGCACTAGTGCTGGTGTCTAGGGCAAAGTCCAATCCCGTCCCATGCTATCATGTACTACAACACACTTGGTGTAGGATGACCCCGTGCCCTATGAGATAGGAATTTCTGCACAGTGCTCTCCTTTCGGGCTCTTTTACTTGTTTGTCACAAGTATATTTCCAACACAGCATACTAGATCTGAAAGCGCACGGTCGTCCTGTAAGGGTGTTTTCTCTGTCCCGTACTTCTCTGTGATATCACTAAGTAAAGCGAATGTAAAAGGAAATGAGTCAAGAAATTCTATTTTTAACAATATTTATATTTGGTTAAATTCCTCGTACCAAACATTAACATTCAAGTTTTTCATATTTTTCAGGGGGATGCAAATATTAATTGTGCGAGTAAGTATTTACCAAAAACATTATAGCACTTCTAGCCAAACTAGATATAAAATAACTGTAGAAAGCATATAAATGAGTTATTTTGTTATTAAACAGGTTGATTTGTTTAATGCAATCCAAATATTAAGTACTTGTGAAACATTGTATTACGACAAAACCAGATTATGTTGGTATCCCTGTTTTCTTTTTTCTTGGTGCGATCGTAGTCTTGTTAGTGAATAAGGACTAATGCTTAGAAGTTCCTTAGACAGCTGTTAATCAATAGCCCATACAGCCAATGGCAACTGAGGGACCTACAGATTATAGTGGAATCCAAACCATATTTTTCTCTTGTAATTACAACAAATTGGCCTAATTATCATGATAGTACTGCGGATAGTCGTAGTACTCACTACGATAAGAGAAGATTATGTGATGAATGCTTCGAAAGAATTGTATATACTTATCATACTATTTTATAGGAAAAAATGAAAAATGGAATTAAGCTAATTTGTTAATAAGTAAATGTTGACTCCGGTTGTACTTTTAGAGACTTCTTGTCCATGACTTCTGATAGCCAATTGGATATAAGTATGAGGCTATCGAGATTCTTGCCATTCGACTGTTGGGTCTGATCATGATTGGAGTGTCCAATGGAAATCGATCAGAACTCACCACCTTTTATATGTATTTACTGTCTCTTTAGTCAATAGTATGAGCATAAATATATTTCAAGTGTTATTTACTTGTAGTAAATTTAATTACCGTTTGATTCTGATTAAGAATGTATTTATTGTTCCTAATAAATTTAATGTATTTTATAGAAGAAGAAATGCTACCAACGGGAGAGTACGAAATCATGGATTTGGTCACAGATGCTGACCCTGTTGGCGAACCTTCCTTAAAGACTTTAAAAGCTAACTCAAACCTCAAGCTCAAGTGCCAAAAATACTTCAAGAAAGAAAAAACAACAGATGGATCCATCCAATCAACCCCCATTGCAATTGGATATATAACTTATGAGGGCTTAATCTTAGAAAAGTTATTTCTAGACTCTTGTCCAGATGAAGTTGAAGGGATGTACATCAACCGCCTTCCGGAGCCAATACCAAATAAACATTTATTAGATACCTTCCTTATAAGAGATAACGAATTTATACTTGTCTTCAAAACCAAAAAAGGATCATGTTTTAAAATATTCATTGGTTATCGGTTGAGTCCTTGTAAAGACACAGCTTCGATTCTCCGATTCGATCATCACAAAGTCAGTTGTCCACAGGATTGGACCAGTGACGCAGCTTTGGACGTGAATCGATCATGGTTCTAAAACTATGATGACTGATTTGTACATCTGAAATACACGACTCATTGACATTATTGGCTTATTTATGAACCTAGGACCTAGGTCCATATTCCTATATGTCCCTGTTGGATGAGGTCGAACAAATTAGTATCATGGGTCGGCGCAGGGAGGATTGAAAGGAGCTCTATCCCCTCCACACAGCACATCTGGGCTCCTCTGCTCCCATTCCCACCGAAGACAACCCCAACCAACCAGCAACAACCAACAACACCGCAAGTTACCAGTGGCAGTTTCTAGGACCATGTCAAGGGGGGGCTAACAGGGTTGTCCCAAAACAGGAGGGGGGTTTTGGGGGTCCTCCCCCGGAGAATTTGCTATTTTTGAAGCCGTTTGGTGACGTTTTAAAGCCATTTTCAACCTCTATAACTGTATCTAAAACCTTGACGTTGCATTTATATTTTGAAATGTGTGTTATTTTAATTAATATTTCAAGGGTCCAAGGGGGGGCTTTAGCCCCTATAGCCCCCCCCCCTTGGAACCGCCACTGCAAGTTACAACCTTGTTTTAATACAATAAATATCACTATTCTTCAAGGACTAAAACTGTAATATAGACTGTGATAATATATTAGGGATAACAAATTTCTGCGGTCCATATTTTGATAATGTTACTTAAACTAGTTGTTCTGCCGAACGCAGAGAAGATACTCATGTTGTGATTCTCTGAAACAAAATAGGATAATTACATTCACATAGGTAGCTATAGCTATATCGCTATCAGCTATGGTCAGAATTACATACTGTTATTTTTCAAGGTGCTTAACATAAAATTGGTAAGAATCAATACCCCCATAGCAAACCTGCAGAATAAGCGATTTTCCCATTTTCCTGATTGGATTTTCAATTAAATCAATTTTATAACATTATGTTTAAAAAGCTATTTTAGTTTGTTTGCTATAGGGACGAGTGTGTTTTTTAGTAAAATATTTAAAACTTTATAAAATAAATAAATTTTCTAATTTTTATTAAATATATTCTTAAACAAGCGAATACTACACAGCAGTTTACTTTGTCTACATAAGAATCACATATAAGAATTTTAAATTTACAACTTTTTGAATTTTTTCTATAACTGGATCAGAGTTTATTCTCATGGTTTCGCATGGAATGCATCATGAAGGTTTCTGTTTCAGTTTGGGAAAATAACTGTAAATACTTTGTAAATTTAATGAGTGACAATGTGTTTGGTATACATTTTAAGTGTATTCAACGAATCGTACGTTCTACGAGGATTGACGTGATGATGTGACCATCATTTTGAAACCGGTTGTCATCTAACGAAATCAAAGGATATTGAACAGGTAACCGTTTATTTAATAATCTTTTTAACAGTTAAGGAAAATTTGGAAATTTTTAAGTTTTTTTTAGGGTATAAAATTAGAAAAACCAATTTTTCAAATGCTAAAATGTTAGTCTTTCTTTTCTTGGTGTAAGATCCCTTGGAGGATTTCCAAAAAAATTTTTGTCTTGCTGTTCTTGGCGTAAGATCCCTTGGAGTAATTCCAAAGAATTTTTGTCTTCCTGTTCTTGGCGTAAGATCCTCAATTTGATACATTCTGTCCCCTTTCCCACCATTGGCCCTTGAACCCTGGGTTTGGTTTGTTCATGGCCCTGTCATTATACTGGCTTTGGGGATTGTATCTCAGCGCCATCAGGGACGTTGTAATTGCTTCGTTTCATGTTAGTATGTTGAATCCCAGGTTTTATCTATGGTTTCATTAACATTACATACATTAAACCAGTCCAAAACACCTTCGACCTGAGAAGGATACCGTAATCAAATACCCCCGCCGCAGCAAACCTGCCGACTAAGCGAATTTCCATTTGTCTGAATTGATTTTCAGTTAAATATATTTTAATAACATTAGGTTTAACGAGTACCTAGGTTTGCTGCTACAAGGAAACTAATAAAGTGTGTTTTTGAGTAAAATATTGATAGCTTAGTACAAAATAAATAAATTTGCCAAGTTTGATCAAAATATATCCATAAACAAGCAAACTACAACATTTGACAATATTCTCCATAAGAATAACATGGGAATTTTAAATTTACAATTTGTTTAATTTTCTCCGTTACTAATAATTGAACAAAAATACTTTTATATACTAAATTATTTGTTTTTTTAAGCTCTTTAAAAATGTCTAAAGAGAAATCGGGAAATTTTGTGTTTTGAGGGTCAAAAGTGAGAAAAACCAATTTTTACCCCATAAAACCCCCCGTAAAACCCCGTTCCCATGGTCCGATCGTGCTAGTTCGCGAACTCATTCAAGTTTATCCCGCTTTACACCTTTAAACCAAATTTCATCAAAATCGGACAAAAATTACTCAAGTTATCGCGTTCACGGACGTATATATATATATATATATATATACATATATAAAAATTTGAACGAATGGTGTTTTTGGCCTCTGGGGACATCAAAATGAAAAAGTAAATCGGTCCCGGGTCTAGGTCTTACCGTGCCACCTACGGTAATAGCCACTTCCCTATAGGGAAATTCGCTAAACATGTTTTAACAACCCAAATTACCTTAGTTTGAAAGGGCTTTGTTAGGTGGCTTAGGTTAGCCTGAGGTTGATTATATACGTAAATATTCATCCTATTAAAATATTACCAAACGGAGCTTTAAGGCTGCAATAAAAATACCCTTACACTTTGAAGGCCTTTTATTTGTCCATATTTTAAATTTACATATCAAGTCACTTCGATCCTACTTTCGACACTGCTATATTACATTTGCTTTACTGTGCAAACCTAATCTTTGATACAAAATATAATAGTCATTATTATATTCTGCGAATCGAGTCTACTTATATACAATAGTCAACTGTTCTACAGTAAGCTATATATATGTATATATTATAAGACGTTGTCCCCCTTCGATCACTTGGGTCTTGTGAATTCAAATATCAAGAAGCTCAAAAAACCTGACACTACTTTTAATTTTTAATTAAAATGTAAACTATCTAACCAGTGAAAGATGTATTCAAACAATTAATTAATATGTCGCCTTAGTTATGTTTTGTATAAATGAGTGATATTACATTTTTACTAATTTATAATTTATTTTTTGTTGTGTTCAACTCATAAAATTGTTAAAATAATAAACAAAAACAAATAATCCATCTGTTTATTACATCATAGTTCTATGCACTCGAACTGTGTTTACTTTATGTTAAAAATTTGTTTTACAAAAATGTATATTACAAAACAGGAGATGCCTAAAATTTTGTAAGCTTCATATAACTTAACTTTTAAAACTACAGTTTTTTCTCAAAATAACATAAATTACAGTTGCTTATTTCCAAAACCTCCAAACTAATTTTAACTTTTTAATTTTTGAATTCACACGAATCCAGTAAACAAATTATTTACAAAAACACATTACAACAGCTGGTAACAACAAATAAATTTGGTAAACGGAAGGCTTCGTGGAATCATAGATATAACATAGGCCCTTAGTAGATTTGCCATCCTTATGGAACAGCTGAAGCAAATTTTATCGTTAGTTCTGTCCGGTTTTCTGTAGATGTAATGTTTAGTTTTCAATTTGTTTCTATTATTTTAGAGTTAGTTTATCATTAATTGTGTCACTCTGTTTTAACATGTAGCCAGTGGACAAGATGTTGTTTATGATTAGATAGTTTTATTTGGTTAAACGAGGTTTTAAACTACTGAAATGACAAGAAACAAGTGGTAAACAAAACACGACATCTACAGATAAACCGGACAGAACTAACAATACAATTGGCTTCAGCTGTTCCATAAGGATGGGAAATCTACAAAGGGGCTATGTTTTATCTATGGTGGAATGTAAGACTTTATTTTGGTCGCTACACTCAAACCAAACTATGATAAAATTACTTTTTTTATCAAACCTCGTAGTTTTTTAATACTCGGAAATGTCTAAATTTAGGAGACCGTTTGACTAAACTACAAGCTAGATACTTTTGACCAACTAATGAGAATTCGGAAAATTATTTGTTATCGGTAACTATGGTCTTAAAAAGCTGAGTAAATCCAAAATAATATAGTAAAACCGGTTTAGTTTTAAAACAATATAATTATCTGTGTGTCCAAAAAATGTGTTGCGAGGCTAATATCATGGATTATACAGTTTAATAAAAACAGTCTGCACTTAAACCATTTTAAAATCAAAAAATGTTTCTAGCTTGATGTTAATTTAGCAATATAGCCTATTAAAACATTTAATTTTTTTTACAGGTTAAAATTTATAGACAGCTGAGGAAACAATTTCCCTAATGGAAGGAAGCAAAGTTCTACTCTATTAGTATTGCTTTATATAAAATACGCTATTGTGATAACATAGAATATTGCAATACATTTTCTCCCGTCATTTTACGTAGCAAAATATCTATTTATACAATACATGATACAATTATATGTAAATTATTATCATTGGTCCAAATGATTAAAATCTAATTAGGCCATTTCAGTACAGGAATACGATGGCATCAAAAAGATCAAGTTGAAAATAGTTAACAGAGTAAAAGAATGATTTACTTTATTTAAAATCTGGAAAGAGTATTAAATAAGCTTTGGAGTACTCTTATAGTCTAAGTATTAAATAGACGTTGTATATTAATAACCAAAGTTATAAAAACTGTCTGTAAAAAAAATACATCAACTTAAACAGTAATTTATAGTAAAAATGGCACAACTTAGTTTAAAAATAAGTTGAAATTTATATAATACGAGAAGTATAAATTGGTTGGGAACATTGTCACTGTACATGTTAACAAAAAAAGTCACAAAAGAAATGGTAACTGTACAAGAAAGATCATAACTAGTTGTGGCTCAATTATAGGTAATGTTTGGAGATGTGATTAGTAATTAAAGTAAAAGGTGTACAATAAATGTGTATAAAAGTATACATCCGAAAAGTAATATAATTTGTGGTCAAACAAGTGTTTACAGAACAAAAGATTAATGTGATTGCGTTATAAATAACAGAAGAAGTTTTAACACATGGTAACATTAGAAGTAGCAACATATTTATTTATAGAAAATATATTTTAAGCAGACGTATTATAACAAATGGTCAGTTTAGTAGGTAAAGTAGTATGATAGGTAGTTAAAAAAAATGTACAATATGTCCTTTCAACGACTAAGGACATTATTTAACACTCCCTGAATCAATATAATGCATGATATATTTACCAATAGTTGCATTTCAATTTGGGAATTGGTCCAATGTTATTTACAAAGCTATATTGATATATACATTGAGATCTATTAACAATATGTAATTATATGAGTAGAATTCTACGCTTTTTGGGTAAAAACCTTTAAAACGAAAAAAATTAAAACATTACAAATACATAGAATGCGCTACAATTATATCATTTACGGACACTTATAAGTAGTCTAGTCTGGGGTTTCATGGCCTGTTTGTAATAGTTCTACATTATTATCCAAGCTAAGGTCACCCTTAGTAACCGTAATATGTAACAGTAGGAATACTAAAGATTTAAAAGTCTAGACAAATAACACTAAAGAGAAGAAATACTACAAAATATTAAACATCAGTTAGGCACAAAGGTATACGAAAATTAATGGGCAAGAAAATGCTTGAGATACAAGTCCAACGATACTGTAAATATTACAAAATACATTACTACTACTGAACAGGCTTAATTGGACCAAAAAACAATTTTAGTACGTTTTAACATTTTGCAAACACAGTGACATAAAATACGAACATATTTTAGTATTTAAGCCACAGCTAATATAAAAACCAATACCTGTATTTACTATTTACACTAATATAACATTGCTTCTTGTATACATCCCATTATGTCTAAGAGCTTTGGTGAAATCTACCTGGCTTTTTCAGTTCTGAATAGTTTGTCTTTGCAATTCACAAAACTTGTAGAAAACTCTCGTCCAATGATAAGTATATACCGCTTTAAGTCCGAGCACATGAGAACAAGTTGATCTCCAAACGGTTGAAGTAAGTTGGTAAACCTTGGTCCATAGTAAACCAGCTGGATCCAGGAGTTACCAACTGTCCTTGAATCTCAGACGTCACTAAAAAAAAACATAATAACAGTATATATATAACATGGTATATTAAAATTTTATAAAAGAAAGCACCTGCAAACGATATTTTTTTCGTTTGGTACCTTCGTTTTTACGGAAAGTAAATACGTCTTATAACACTTAAAACATATATTTACGCTTATACTGTTACTCACAAGACGGTAAATATACAAAAGATGTATATTATCATACATAATTGCATTGTTTATGTACTTCGTTTTTGTAAAAAATAAGACTTTGTTATTAATACCCCTCCCAACATTTGACACACAAAAAGCCTGGAGTGTAATAAACTAAACACAAAAAGAGCAGACCAAGTACATCTAAATAAATTTGTATTTTTATGATGTTTAATTGATTTAGAAGTAAAATGTGATCGAAATAATGAAATCTTACAAACTAGTTATGGATAATTTGTTAAACGTTTTGTACAAAGTTGTCAATCAAGGAAATAAATATTAAGACTTTTATTTGTTTTACTTACGAGGATTCCAATGAAGGGTCATTTAGAATGATTTCTGCGAGCTGACTTCTAGAGCTCGAGAGTGAACTTGCCCCAGGCGTCTGTGAAAATACAAACCCATAAAACAATTATCTGGAAATTATAACAACCAAACTAACGCGATGCTAAAGATTATTCTGTGCATTTTTTATACAGGGCATTAGTTAATATACATATACTATACATAGCAGGAACGTTCATTTAATAAATTATTAGTTTATTCACGTGGTAATCTTGGATCTGTAATGTATTGTAATGGAAATATTATATATTATACCAAAAATTAAAAATATTTCAAATAAAAATATAGTTTATAGTAACTAAAACTAAACCTGTATAAAGTAACCTACCGTTTCTCTATGAGAACTTGATGGTACAAATGAAACACTACCTTAAAATGCGGTGCACACATCTTCGACAGTATGCCATTAGATCTTTTATTGTTTGTGATATTTATTCAACTCAAATCATGTCTTTTAAATGATTATTAAAACATTATTTTTCACCTTAAGCAATTAAAATACAAATATTGTAGAAAATTATGGCTGTATCATAATTCCTAAGAAAGATGTATTTTCACATTTTACTCTACACCCGAAGCAACCACTTATTAATTTTAGTAAACAATAACATTTTAGTTGTATGTAAAGCCAACACACATAGAGCTTGTTTTGGGTCATACAGATACTTTCTACTCAAATAGAGCCTGATAATAGGTTTTTGCATTTAGTTCTAAAACATTTCAAGTTAAATACTGTCGTTATTATGTTATTTTGAAATCCCATAAAATATTAATACTAAGCTGTTGTTGTTTTACCAGCTGTTCGGACATAGGCGAGGCAGGCGGGGTTGTGCAAGAGCACTGCTCATGGTACATCTCCCTTAGCTCCCTCATGTTGACTGAAACATTAGGAAAACTTATCAGTTCGTACATACAATTATTTTTGTAAATATCAAACTTGTATCTAGCGCAAAATTAAGGTATGATCATGGTTCACAAACTAATAAAAAATACCTTTGATAAACTTTCAAACTGCATGGAAAAATCTGAAACACTGGAACGAGCCAAAATTGAATTTTGCGTTAAATAAACTACTAATCTTGTACAGATAAATAGTTTTTTCTTTCATGGAGTCGTATATTTTAAGTTTAAGGGTTTCATAAGTGCATAGGCTAATGCTCCCACGATGTATTATTCTTATTGGTAAGCCATAGACTGTTTAAAGCAATGTTTTATCCAGTTCGAGTGGAGGGTAATTGTGTGCAAGCTCTTTTTTATAACCAAATTAATATAACAATAAATTCTTAAACTTTCAATTATTCTCCTCGTATATTCTGCGTTTTCAAAGGAATCCACACCAATATTATGCGGCAGTGCATTGAAATATTATTTAAAAAATACCTTTTTGTATCAAATTGTTATTTCCTATTAGCTAAAGAACCCCTCAGATAGTAACCTCCTCTTACCATCACTCTCGGCCACGTTGAGGCCGCTGGCGACGCTCTCGCCAGTGGAAGAGACGCCGGAGGAGCTACGGACACTGTCTGTGGACAGACCCAGCGATGACGTCACCATGGGCCTGTGGAGGTGGGCGGCGTCGTTACTGGCTCCTCCACAGTTCCAGGAGAGCCGCTTGTGAATGCTGGAGTCACGGGTGTCCTGTCTCTGTTGGCGGAAGATAATATTAGAATCTCTCGGAGTAAACTCTAAAAGCCGAAAAGGAACACCAAATTTCATTTACTGGACGAAAGCACTAAAGTCTATTGGAGGTAATTTTCGGGCGGTAACCTCTGAATGGATGGTAAATATACTATCTCATATTTGTTTTGATTTGAAACGTTAAAAATAAATATGTAAAACCTTCTTAGTTGATAGCATTATTTCGTTATTTTACTATGAAAAAAGATTAGTTTAGATTCTTTTTAGTTTCTGAACTCTCTGTTTCCGTAGTCACAGTTGATTTTAAATCAACCGGAGATTGAACAACGTTATATGACATTACCTTGATCTCCTCTATGACACCCGCCGTGTGATATCTCTTATCAGTCCTCGTCAGTCTCTTTATCAGCGCCTGTCTGTGCTGTTGATGTTGACCGCTAGTTCCTTCCCCAACATCGGTCCCACAGTCAACTTCTCCAGCTGAAAAAATAATGTTTTAGTTTAAATTACTTAATAATTTAATTGTATGACAAACGCCTGCTCCAACAAATTGGCGCAATCATATGTTCATTGTGGTCAAAACCTGATACCTAAGATTACCCATATTTAAAATCAACAAGACTATTCAAGATGATACAACATTTTTGAAGTAAGAAGGAACATAACATTAACCTAACTATCTTAGTAGACCTGATATGATTAACCAATTAAAGGGGGTTCAAAAATAACTTTGTTCATTTTGCAAATCATATCGCGTGTCTAAATTTTTACTTTCTCCCTTAATTTTTGTACTACTATAGATGATGTGACATAAGCGATTCTATAGCCCACAAAAAGTTTTCTTTTACAATCTTGATTGAAAAGTGTGCACATTCGTCAAAGATGAGAACAGAAAGATTAGACAAAGAAGATTGACAACATCTTCTTCAACTAATCCATTAATATATCCTGTACAAGGCTTACTCTGGTATATTCAATGAATGTTAATATCAAAATCCACCAAGACACATACCTTGTATGACCGGAATATCCAGTTCGCAGCTAGGAGCAGACGGAAGGACGGAGCTGCCTGTGGACGCGATGTGTCTGGTCTTGAGCAGGGGAGGGTTGCGAGATAACGTGAGGGCCGGGGCGCGACGTAGGGGTGGGCTGGGAGGAGGGTAGGAGGTGCCACGTAGCGGGGTGCCACGAGGAGGTACCAACAGGGTGGTACCGGAGGAGGTGGAGGCAGCCACTTGGTTGAGATCCGGCAGAGACTGGCCAAGACAAGAGAAAACTGGCACTTGGATACTGAGTGTATTGGGGCTGGTGCACTTGCGTCTGAAACAAATATAGATTTGTCAATGATTTTTCAACCCCTAAAATAATGAAAACAAAGATTAATTCTATTCAGTTACAAATTGCGTAGGTTAAGTGTAAATTTGAGTGGCAAGTGGTAAACCCCTCCCTCACAACCGTTAGTTTTATTGTTTCATACGTATTATTATTTCAAAAGTTAATTGCTATTGTATAAATTTAATACAACCAGTATTTTGTTGTGTGACTCTTATTATTGACTTTCTTCGAAACATTTCCTACACGCCATTCTTATTGACCCGATCTATACTTTTGAGAAACTTTACAAAACAATTGACGAAACAAAATTGGTTGTTTGCAGTCGCGTAGGCAATCTTCTTAAATCTGGTTGCAAAGATATATATTCTGTACTGGTATATTTATTTTATTGATATTTATATTTAGTTATATGTATATTTTGTTGTATATGAGACGTAGTTAAATATAGTGAGAACATTAGCATCTGTAACAAAATTTTATTTTCGTTCTTAGTTCCACATACTAAAAGAACTCATAAACTTGCATAAGAAAGCTCTAATTTGCAATCTTATATTACTTAGGTCGGCCAACTAAAGACTTTTAAACAAAAGTGGGTTATTAAAATTAATGTTTTACAACCTCCTCCTCGTTTGCCCGTTTTTCATTCAAGGTTGTTTGATCGGTTATACCAAAATAATTGAACTACTACTTCACGTTAAAATGTTTTATATACAGTACAAATACAGTATAATAATTCAGCATTTTTTAAATGTCCGCTACCCAACATGGTCTCAAATTCTTATAGATAATTTCGTATCGTAATTATTAATTAAAGGTTAAACAAGAAGTTAATAACCCATCAACCGGAGGAAAATTCAATCAAATGCATGTATAATATTTTGCCGAGTATTTGGTTAACATTGCTATTTCCCATTCACACAGACGAAAAACAGATATGGATTATTCGCTCCGCGTTTTGAGTGGATTTAACAATTCAGTGTAAATATAAATAATAATATTTTTATGTTGGTATTTATTTTTCGGTAAATGTTGTTTACCATTTAATCTATACATTGAGTAAACATACGCAGTCATCGTGACTATGATGGGTTTATTTCAAAGTCTCTTTGTGTGTTCTTAATTAAAAAAAAATAACTTTGTTCAACTTCAGTAAAAAAGTAAAAGTTTTTTACAAAAGCTTTAATATTTTTTGCAATATATTTACAGGTTTGAATCTTACTAAGATCTAATAAGGACCTTGGTTTGTTTTATACTTTAATAGCACCCCACTTAAAACAGTTTTAACATCCAGATAAACAAAGTAAAAATGATCGAAAAAAGCCAAACATTTATGAACTACCCAATGCAATCCCACGCTAGCAGCGCCAAAATATCGACAGCAATTTAGCATCACAATGGCGCCACGGTGGTCCCCAATGGCTAGATTCAATTATGCGGTAAGTTGAGACCCACTCGACAGTTAACAAGCCTTAACTCTAAACGTAACTCTGTTACCAAGATCCTGGTTACTCTAATGATTAGTTGTTGTTATATTATACAGGAAATTTCGACGAGATCATCTTGCAGACTATGCATAAAAGCAGGTAGATTTTAACGAGATCCAGGTTACACAGAGTTTGTACAGTATGTGTAGGCTATTGCCATTGACAATTGTATACTGAATAATCCCGTCCATATAAAACAGCTGTCTCCAATTCTTTATTAAAAAAAGAACATAGTTGCTGTGAGCCAATCATAATACGGGGAATCCCTAAAATATTGTACCAACGTACCTGTCTCCCCTAGGACTGCTGGAGTGATACCCCCTCTCCGTGATAACAGGAACTCCTTCGTCTGAACTCTGACTTGAGCCTCTGACTTCGTTCTCAACACTCACTCCTCTCGACTGACTCACACTTCCAGCGCTTATAGACGAGTTCTCCATCTCCACCGAGCCACTGGACAACATACTGAATATTGTTTACACTTGTTTGTAGGCTGCTGTTAAACAAGTTTTCAGTATTAAGTATTAGAACAACATTTTGTGTAACAAAAATTGTGAGAAGTATTGCGTGTTTTAATGTTATAAACTTTTCTAGTACACCTCCTCCTAGACTCCAGGAAGAGTAATATCATAGACTTAACAAGTAGACTTCTGTTCCTACTGAAAAACCTGATGCTTGTTTTCATGTCTTATATATGTTAGTGACACTGATCGCTCGTGTCGACAAAAATTTATTTCTATTATTTTAAGGTTAATTTTATGATTTGTGATTTACTGTAAGGTTTTATAACTAGGGCAAGTAATAGGATAGACAGTTTTATTTGGCTGAAAGAGGTTTTTAATAACTGAAATAACAATAAACAAACTGTAAACAAAAACACAACCGGAGTGGCACCGATGGAACTAACAATTGTCTTCAGGTGATCCATAACGATGACACATCTGCTAAAGGAGTATGTTTAATGGTAAAATCTCACCTGTGTGAGTGGTTAAGACTGCTACACCTGGTGGAACCCTTAGGACTCCTGAGAGGGAACAGCCCTAGGGAAGCCACCGAGTGACTGTCGACGTCCTTCTCCCCAACATCTTCCTGCCAGGAGCCTTCCTCCTCGTAGAAGCTGCTGGGTTGTCGACTCAGCGCCAGAATGGAATGAGTCGCTGTCGTCGCCTGCTTGGCTCGTGCGTAAAGATCCTGGGCCTTCTTTATTTGAGTCGACCAGTTCTGTGAAATTTGGGTTAATAATTGTGATCAGTAATGGATTCAATATTTGCAAGTTCTATATGGAGGAGTCTGCCCCCGTACCGCGACCGGTTAAATTACTACTTTAAATGTTAAATGTGTTTCGTGCGATATATATGTTTGTGAATTTATTTTAATGTTTCTTGACGACTCTATCATAGACGAAACATTCTTGTTAGGAAATCACCAGACGATGCCTGAGTAGGCGAAACATGTCGTGAGTCACTACAACATTTGAACTGTCGACGTAAAGGTATGTACCTAATATTTGTCTGTGTTAAATCCTAAATAGCCAATAACATGAGAACACGCAGTTACTTGTTGTTACCATAAAAAGTATTCATTTGGTAAAAGTTACATAAATATTTAACTTGATCCTTACCAAGTATTTTAGTGGCTATACGATGAAGAGTTTTAAATACTTTCAACACGGTTTTTAAATAAACATGTATTTTATGCCAAATAAGACGTAATTATAATATGATGTTTTGTTGATACATCAAACACAACAAGTTATGTTTGGATATGTAATGACTATTTTTAAGTTTTCTATGGTAATAAATATCTTTCCAAACTATGTCTTCACCATAATCTGCCTACGGCAATATAGTACAACACATTGCTTTAAGATCGGAATTATCTTACATAAATCAAAAGAAAGTACCATACTACCTTGAGCATCTTCGGGTCCGGCGAAGTCAGCAGGAACGCCCCGCAAGGCACCCTGTACTCTGATAGGTATACGACAGCCAACGTGGCGGAGTCCCTGGGTAGTTCCTGGACCACCAACCTCTCCACCAGGTAAGGCTGCCTCAGGACGCGGAACCTACCCTCTGACCTCCGGGTGGTCGCCTTGCACACGAGCAGCAGGTCCGTGAACAAGAAGCAGTGCACGTCCATCTGTGTGCAAACCGAGAGACAAAAACCTGCTCTATATGGGAAATACAGTGTGGAAAGGGTGCATTCTCATGATTAGTTATAAATGGAGAAGTGCACAGTATCAGTTAATGCAAGAAGGGTAGTGGTACTAACGCCTGGGTGATGTTCTTGAATTGTGTTCTATATTCGTTATATTTCCGATTTGTTTTTAGTTGTGACTTTTCTCATCGCCTATGTTGAACATAAATATTCTTCCTTACTTTTGAGGATAAAAAGGACTCACAGCTTAAGAGCAGTTAAAATGTAAAAAAATATTACAGAAATTGGAAATATATGTGGTACTATGGTATATTTCTCTTGCAATTAGTTGACGCGGATACTGTTCAACACAAAAGAGATTCGTAAGATTTCATTAAGTCTCGTAGTATGAATTTTAATCTTCCATCAATTCTATAATTTACAAACGTAACATAAAACCACTCGAGCTAACGAAATTCAAGTTCTACAAGAATGGTTACTAGTTAACCTAAAAATACTTAGCTAATAAGTGAAAACGCCTGTCCATATTCTATGTTTATTTATCGGGTATTTTATTCGACGCTTTGGATCTATTTTGTACACGGTAAAATCTAAACTGTATCTAACTAAAATATATCTTAAGTTTGAGATTAAATGATGAAATATCTCTCGTATTACTTATTAGTGCGGCATTTTATAACAATTATGAAAAACAATACCTAAGAGTGTCAACACACTTAATGAGGATATTTTCTTTTAAACTTGACAATAAAAACAATAAAAGGGGTGTATTGGTAGGTAATAAAAAATATTTTTTATATATCACTTGAAACATTAATAACTGGGATATTCAGTTGTATGTTAAACGCTTTTGCTTAATGTAGTTGAAGGGGAATTAAGTTTTACGTTCCAAATGTTACATTGAAAAGGTGATTTTTTCTTTTATTTTTTAACCTAAGGAAGAGTATGGGCAGCTATAACTGATGAGCAGAAAGGTTTAGTTTTGAGATTTGAACTGGATCATGGTACATCAAATAAACTATAATTACCTTGGACGTCTGGTTATCTTTTATCTTGAGGTCACCTTCCAGCAGCAGTTGTCTTCTTTGAGAGTTACAACATCCAGGCATAGGGCAGGTGAGGTCAAGGTCGTTGTAGCTGCGAACCAACCTCTCCAGGTCCTCGTCCTTGGACTCCTGCGGGATACAGGACATCAGGACATACGTTTGGCTAATTCATTGTCAAAAAGCACAAAAGGAAAGGGCGCTTGTAATTTATACAACTAGAAAGTTTATGTAAAGCACCGAAAAGAGTTGTGAGGGTATAACCAACAATAAATGCTGGGCATGCTCTTTGATAGTATCAAATCGCTTATGAAAATAATGATAGAAAATAATAATATAATAGACATAAACTTGGAGCTTCTGTTTTATATAACACAGGCTTTGATGAGAATCTAGAGGGAATCAGGAGAGTATAATCAAGGAGACAATAAGATTACAAGAATGTAATAGACAAGAAATTTTGGGAAAATGTTTTAATAAGCAAGCAACAAATTAATATCACGAAATGATGAGGATATCATAAGAATCTTTGAGATGCACTTTATTTAAACAACTATTTGACGCTACAATTAATTGTATATTTGAACAGTTCCAATTCATTTCTTAACAGTTGGGAACAGTTGTTCTCCAGTATAATCAATGGATTTACAATTTATGTTAACCCCAGTATCTTACAAGAAGCATTAGAAAAATTACATTTGATTAAAATGTTTTTTCAAATTATTGTTAAAGCGGCCGTTTTTGCTACGGTATGGCAACACTAACGTAAACATGAAAAACTAAATAATATAGTTTATTTGACTCTAGGGATATTAGGTTAAGCCTTAAACTATTTACGGAACTAGTCATTGCATCTATATGTCAAAGCTGTCCCCGGTAAAAAAAATGGACGTACTTAAAAAGATCCACTGACAGCTTGAGCTGGTCCATATAAATACAAGTCTTCAGTTTACAAAAAAACAAAGGTTTTACTTACAACAACATCGTAAGCTTCGATCCTGGATATAACTGCTCGAAGCTTCTCTAGATCCTGTTTCTGCCGAAGGGTTGTATTTACACTATTTACAAACTGATCCACCCCTCTTATCTGCAAAGTAAGTTGTAAAAATTAAGCACAAAACACAAAGTAATCATAAGGGCATTTAAGTACAGTAAATTTTAAAATAATGACTAAACTAAAGTAAATATCTAACATAAAACCTTAAATCGTGTTCCATTAGAATTGTTAAATTCAAATGAATATTTTGTAATTTAAGGATAAATGAAATTAATTCATAAATTCATTTATACATATATTTGTATTTCAAGCATTTTTGCCCAGGAAAGAATTCTACTTAGGTGATTTGGCGAGGCTGTCTAATTTAAATACCATAAACATCTTTACATGGATTTTTTTGTACTGCAGTTGGTAAATTTTACAAGAATAATTAATCATACTATGTTCTTGTATAGTTAACTTTTCCTTTTTAAGTTAATTGTTAATTTTTATTGGTTTCTAAACAAAAGTAGGAATAGACGTCCTAAAATCAAATACAATACCGTTACTCTAATTTTAGCATATTATCATTCGATTTTAGAAAATAATTTTAAAAGGAAAATATAAAACATAATAGATTGCATAGCATAACTATAAGGTTTATATTTTAGCTTTATGCAAAATTAATATTATTAAACTAAAAAATAACTTTAAGCTTATGTGAAAACCTCATTAAACTGTAAACTACATCAATAAAAGATACTCTTTCAAAAGATATTTCTTGGAAATAATAAAAGAGAGAAACTAGAGTTACCAGTCTGAACAATTGCCATTTGTGACACTTTTTTTATAAAACAGGAAAACTCGAGATAAATTGGATGTTTCCCCAGACTGCAGCACAACGATATAAGCTGTCAGGGGAGACAGAAGTATTATCTTGTCTAAGAAAAAGTGTTGGTTTTCATGAAGTATTTATTAATTAACCATATATAGGGGTGCTACTTGTTCTAACTTAACATTATTATCCCTCATAAATACGTAAAAAAATGTCCTAGAGATATATACAACATAAAGATATATGTCTCATATTATTACGGAAAACTTTTTAATTTGTCAAACTAGGAGTAAGTAAATTATTTTAGATGTACCTATGAACTAGTTTTATTAAGTTTGATACTCTAAAAAAAACATTTTTTAAACCTGAAAATTGAACCAAATTAAGCACACGGACATGTATAGCGCAGTCAATTTGGATAATAATTCGCAAAACATGAAGGATGTTATTGGCGTAAGTTCTATTTCACATTCACCAATAAATAAGCAAAAACTGTTCATTTATAGGATGTAGGGTTTTAATAGTAAAATTTCCCTATTTGTGATTATTGGCAATTTTAGTTCCAACCAACCTAGGGCTTTGCTTAAAAACACACAGACACCAGTAGTTGTATGGTGTCTATCAATAAAGAAATTGCAGTAATTAAACACTCAAAAATACCTAAATAGTTAAAAACACAACACACAATTTCAATGATGCAGCATATGAAGGTAACTCAACTCCGATACATTTTAATTGGTCAAACAAGGACACTTCATTTGCACCTTTACAATGCATATTTCGAGATGTGTGTGTGTGTGTAGTCGGTCTAGTGATTATAACGGAGAACTAACCAGGTGCCCTGGTTCAAATCCCGTCAAACACCAATAGAATTTAGCTATGTGATAATATCTTTCCTAGGCATAAAGTAGGTTTAGCTGTATATAATAGTATCAGAAGAACCTTTTTCTGTATTAGATATCATCCTCCGCTAAAAGCTAAAGTAATACAAAGTAATTACCATCTGGTCAAGGGAGAGTCTAAGGTCCTCAGCCTCCGTGTGTTTCTGGATAGCCTTCAACAGTAGTGAGTACTTGGTAATCCTCTGCATAGGCTTGACTAGGATGTCCATCAGTCGTAGTCTATTGCAGTCCTTCTGAGTCTCACACCACTGCAGGTACAAGGACAATACAATAGTCAATATTCAAATGTATAAGTAGTGAATATTTGAGCGTCCTGGTGCAATAGGCACTACTAACAGGGCTAAGATTGGGATAGGCAGGAGCCTAACCCAGCTCCTTTTCCCCCAAATCCCCCACCAAGTAGGGATAGTTGTTGTAACCATTAGTTTACTTGTACTTTTCACAAGTATGAATATAAAAACAAATTGCTTAAAGCTGATACAAACAATAATTATTACTAATAACTAGAATCTACTACAAGTCTATATACTTTCTAGAACCTATATTATTCATAATATAGGTTCTTAAGTTGATTATACAATAACATGTAAAATATGAATTATTTATTGACATATTTAAATTTATATGAAGTTTATGCATTTTCCATAATCAATATTATACTACCAATAAAGATTAAACATTAATAAACTTAGTACCCAAGTAAAATTATTTATTAAAATATTTACTGACTATAGTTTCGGCTCTAAGGCCATTTTCAAAGTAAACAAAATTCAAAATAAGATATGTAAATAAATAAATAACATATGATTTTATAAAACTTTTCTAACTTGTAACATAATTTTGTCTTCATTGATTAATTTATATACTATATGATGTGTTGTACTTATTTTCATTAATATTTTCTCAATTTTGCTATTGTTTCATAAATTGGATTATTCAATTTTGGAATCATTGTATTTAAAATATTTGATTTGTTATTTTTGTAGTTCATATGTTATTTATTTATTTACATATCTTATTTTGAATTTTGTTTACTTTGAAAATGGCCTTAGAGCCGAAACTATAGTCAGTAAATATTTTAATAAATAATTTTACTTGGGTACTAAGTTTATTAATGTTTAATCTTTATTTATATATAGTAGCCCTATTTTTCTATTTTTTTATACTACCAATATATAATAAATCTATTTACCATTTACCAACTAAACTAGTTGATTGCGTAACATTACACTACTAAACAAAACTAAATTTAGGGCGTTTAATAACTTACCAATGTGTCTAGTTATCAGAATGAAACAGTTGTTTCAAAAGAGGTAATATAAATTTGTTCACGTTTCAGTCAAATCAATTATTATGCAATACACCTTTTTGGCCATTGAAACTTATATGCAGGGAGCTGGGGATCTAGAACGGATTTATAAAATTTAAGTAGTGCAAACTTTTCTACTTGCGGAATATAGTTTAGAAAATCTATTTGTTTTGTGGTTATTATTGCTCATCGCATTAGAAAATTGAAAATTTGTTTAAAATTGCACCAAATATGGTTTGCAAACTCGAGGTAGAAACGTAGATTTTCAGAAGACCCACCATTTTGAAACATAAGAGAACACATATTTCCTGTGAAAATGGAATATTTAATGTCACCTGTGAGTCACAGACACACAAACATATGAACATTCAATATTCACCCGTTTTGCTTGCCCTAATATAAAAAGGAATACACAAGCATAAGACAACTAACAACTCCGAGCAGTGCACATGCAAAAGTCTAATCGTATTTGTACAGAGGGTAATAAACAGTGAAATATCACATGTAGAAAGCGTACCATTTGAACCAAAGAGACGCAGTAAACTGTACGTTATTCACGGGTTGTGTTTAATTAAATGGTCAGTTAAAAGGCAGGAAGCACTAACTTGTAAATTTATTATCTTTCAACCTCAGCGTTTGTAAGCTAAAGGTAAACTTATACTTCCTGCTTACGTAAGTATTAACGCATTTAGCTTTTGAAAAGATTAGTATACAAACAATTTTAATTAAATTTGCTGTGACTTATTATAAAAATATTGCATCGACGAAAACATATTTTTTATGATGTAAGTATTTTTTTTTACATAATTACATATACTGAGAAAAGAATCAATTTAGTTGGTAAAATTAAAACATTATTTACAGTAATTCATGACAATTTTAATCTTAAATCTCACTCACTTTGAGAGTTATTATAACAAAATAACAATCTGTACAACTAGTTTGCAAAGTTGCACTTTTACAAATGAGAGAAGTTGTTGACACTCGAGTAAGTGCCAACATTTTATAAAATTAATAGAAAGACACTTTGGACCCGAGTAGCACATTATCTTTTGTATACAGCTATTGGCATGTGAAATAATATTCAAATAATATTCATGTCCTCAACAAATGTATAGCTTTGAGGTAAAGATTTATTTGACTGAACTGCATTATTGTGGCAACAGGATAAAAAATAACAAAGCTAACCTCAAATTCGGTGGACGAAGAAAACTCCATTTGCTTTCTTCCATTTACATCTTTGATAATTAATTTTATTATCATAACTTTGATAATTTTCTCTGTATAGTACGTTTATAGCATTTTACACGTAAGGAGTAGTTTAATGTGTACAGCCAATTTTCTTGTTTAATATCGTTAAATAACTGAAATGCATTTAAAAAAAAATTTGTTAGTTTTGTCCAGTTGTCATGCGGAGTGAGTAAAATTAATGAAAAGTAAAATTTTAACTATAAGTATTGTAAAAATGAAGAGGAAAGTTTATACAGGGTGAGTTTTAAATGAGTTCCCCCCCTACTTTTTTCTACATTTCTTAAGATATCAATTCCGGACCACGTCAGATCATTAAAGAGTAGTAAGTACTTCATTTTGACTGGGTATAAATTTTTGACCGCCATCTTGGATCCGCCATATTGGATACAAAGTTTTTTTTTTAAATGTAAAGGTAAGGTTGTGACCCATTGTTTTGAACTACATTTTTATGCTGAATACGATGCTGCAATTCGTTTTTTAAAATCTTGATCCATATTAAAGTTATGAGAACTTTTTATAACATTATTTTTAGCCCATTTTAACATTGTGCATTTAGAAACTAAGAACATAATCGCAAAATAGTGCTAGAAAAAGATTTATGTATATTATGTGGTGTATAATTATATTTATCTAGCACTATTTTGCGATTATGTTCTTAGTTTTTAAATGCACAATGTTAAAATGGGCTAAAAATAATGTTATAAAAAGTTCTCATAACTTAGGAATGGATCAAGATTTTTAAAAACGAATTGCAGCATCGTATTCAGCATAAAAGTCTAGTTTAAAACGATGGGTCACAACCCTACCTTTACATTTGAAAAAAAAACTTTGTATCCAATATGGCGGATCCAAGATGGCGGCCAAAAATTTATACCCAGTCAAAATGAAGTACTTACTACTCTACAATGGTCTGACGTAGTCCGGAGTTGATATCTTAAGAAATGTAGAAAAAAGTAGGGGGGGAACTCATTTAAAACACACCCTGTACATTGCAGTTTTCACTGTACAAAACAAAATTGTCAGATAAGAGAGCAAAGCAAAATGTTGAAAAATCAGCTGTTTTGCATACTAATTCTTGTTATCAAAATTCCACTCTTAAACTGTTCACAAAATTACAATCGTGGAGTACTTTTTGTTCTTAGGCATGCAAACGAAAGATAAAGGTATTCATTCTTAAGATATTCCTGCAAAAAAAAACATCTAGTAACATATCAACATCCAAGACTGACAACAATAAAACAATAAAGGTAATTTTAATTTTAATTTCTAAAATCGAAGAATATCTTGTACTGCAGTAGGAATAATCTGGTTGTATTAACTTTTGTTTGAAAGCCCGTGTGCAATACAAACGTATATAATCTATATATAAAGCCAAAAGTACCCATGCACTTTTGAGAAAACTACAAGTCACACCCCCATAAACCATATACTTAAAATGTTCGTCATGACGAGAAACCTTGCGCAAAATTATCCATTATTTCATAAATTGTCCTATAAGGTCGTAATTGCTTTCCAAAGGGAACGTTCTATTTACCTGATGTTAAAAATACCTCAGCTGTTATTATTTGTTTGTATTACCATTACTGTATTCTGTTTTGTTTATTTCATCTTAACTTAACCAATCAATAGTTTTATTAATACTAATGTAGTAAAACGGGTTGGAGCCCGTGGGTAACAGCTAGTTACAATAAAATCAAAATACCACATCGTACTCACCACAAGGTAAGCCGTGAACAGTTCACTATCACTGTGCTTTTCTCTACAGTATTGCTGGCATTGCGACTGCTCGGCGCAGTACTTGGTATAGGGTCTAAATATTTCTTCAAACTGAAACATTTACAATTTGGTTAAACACTTAAAATATTGATAAGACGTGCAATATTGATACTAGAGGCCACGAGAATCTGCAGTTGGCGACAGCCAATACCAAGCCTTGACTAGCGCGACGTTGCGACATCGCCCGTTTACTACTTTTCGACACTAATTAAAATGTACTAAAAGTTTTTTTCGAATCAGCTGGTATTATTATATTTGGCAACACCACACTATCCTCATTGGCTCCTTTGAAGTCACGTGGTAAATAGGCTCCTCCCTCAACTGCAGACTCTCGTGAGCCGTACTATAAGTGGATCATTTCTGCATTCATTTAACTTTTATAGTTTCAGAAAACATGTTTTTCTACATTATTATGTCTAACATCATACCGTTTGGAATTCCTTAGAAAATAAATTGCAGTGAGGCAACATTATTTCTTATTCATATTATATAATGTTTTGAATGTAGCAGACATAACCAAAATATAGAATGGATATCATAACTTTTTATGGTTAGGCTACAAAATAATATCAAATGGTTGGCCGTATTCATGCAAAGAACTACATTGTATTATTCGTGTTATTTGGTTGCTCACAGTCTCAATTCAATCGGTGTATGTAATGTTATTTGCCTTAGTAAAACCACGTGCTTAAATTAATATTAGGACCAACGTAAAGAATGATGCGGCTTCTAATTCTAAATTGCGTTATTTAATAGGCAACTATCAGAGCTTAACATTACATACTGTATTGTACATAGTGTACGTTTCTTTTTGTAAAGTTAAATGTTGTTTAGTTCAGGAAAGATACTATTGGTTTAATTTCCAAAAAATCAAAACTAAAAAAATATATTTAGTATTGAGGTAAGTATAATCACTGAATATTAATAAGTATTCATTTTTAGGTAAGGTGAGATACTTTGCCTTCTCCCTTTTGCTTCTTTTTAAAATGTCAATCCTCTCAACTAAAAAAATACATTTTCTTCATCTTCCTTTTTAAAATGGTGGTTTTAACATAGCATGAACCGGTATAACGTGTCTAAAAAGATTAACCGTCGTTTTAAGGTGTTTTTAATTTATCTTAAAGCTTTAATGAGATTATTTTATCTTATAATGTTAACATTACATTTATATACGTGCAACCTTGTCTTATACATACAACCATATTATACTTTGTGTGCCCACAACTGAATTGCTTTTTGTTGTGAGGTTTGAGAGCGTTTCAACAATAAGAGGTGGTACGTTTCTGCAATTCGTTGGAGCATACTAAGTGGAAGGTGTAATGTAGGCTTATGAAAGGCTGGTATATTACTGCCTCGCGGTTGCAGGCGGTTCTCAAGCCATTTTAATGCTATTACACCTCCCTGATATCCCACTGCGGCATTATTACTGCAATATTGACGCACTTAGTTCAAGCAAGTTTTTCCTAGTTAAACGTAGACTTTTATAATAGTTTATATACAATATTATTCCAGAATGTGTTTTTAATATGTATAAGTTTCCATTTAAAAAAATATCTTTGATTTCGTTAACAATAATTAACTATTTCCCCAAACTCACCTTTTATAGTCACACTATATTTTAATTGCTAAATAAACCTGTTGAAAAAGTAAAATGTTTGTGGTTGTCCGTCACTACTATGGAATCCATGAGCCACATGGACTAGCGAATGGCAGATAAATAAACACCGTCAACATGGACCGAATTTCCAAGGTGCTATGACGTCAAGATGGTGTTCCCCTTCCACTCTACACTCGTGCCGGCCAGTCAGTGACGTCATTATTCAGATAAGGTTGACGCCAGGTGACCTTGACGCCGAAGCACTTAGTCACTCACTACCCATCGGTCACACAAACCAGATATAAAGTCTCAATTTGCCTCGCCACAACCACATTCTGTAAATCTACTTCGGCCACGTTAATCTTATATTTGGATTAAATAGAACTTACATGGAGGAACCCTTTGAGCATCAACTGTGCGTTGAGCACTTGTCTCGACTCCCGACTGGCACTCAACATCGGCAGCAAATGGTTGCTCCAGAAGTTGCGGTTTGAGTTGTAGATCTCAGTTATGTTGCTGAAGAGTCTAGTCTTGTCTACGTCTGACAGAATGTTGGCTGCTTGAAGATTCGTTAGGCAAGACAAAAACAGCTGCAACAAGATATGAATGTTGGCTATGAGCAGGTAAATGTTGACTTGAATCGACTCAAAACGTTGTGCTGAGTTAAACATCGTAAGGAAGTATAGTAGTGTCTACGTTTGAAAGTATATGTTGGCTGCGTAATGATTTATGAGGCTTGGACAGCTGAAATAAGCTTTTAGAAAACTGTAGCAGTAAGTAGATGATAGAATGAAAGTATATTCTTAGAATGATCCATTATGAGTTATATTATGACACTGATTCAAAGACTTATTAAGTGAAAATGGTTAAACTCTAGTTTGTTATAGAAACATAACCTCTTGATGATAAAAAAATAACAAACTAGTTTTTGTTTTTGGTAAAAAAAAGTTAGGTCCAAAAATATCGTTTGAACATGATGAACCATTTATATGGTCTGTTTGATCCTCTATCGAGCTGGAAAATATTAGTGGTGTAGAGTTGATCTAATTTCAGCTTGTATCGGTTTTCATTCAGACATTTATATAACTACCTCATACTGATGAAACAACTTTGTTGAATTGTATCCGTATAAGTAGTATAAAACACGGGGGTAATCCCGTGACGTCATAATTAGGTAATTGGTAAGTATTTTGTGATTGTGGAGCAGCGTGAATTATGGAGCGACTCTGGCGATGTATGTTGTGGATTGGTTGGTATTGTTATTAGGTCAAGGTTGTCTGAATGTGTTTTTTTTTTATGTTCAGCTTTAATGTTTCAAATATACCATGTACTGGATTGTAAAAATATGTATTGTTCCATTTAACTATCCATCAACTAGCTGTCTCATATAATCTTCGAACTCTGGGCGGAGAAAGTACGAGGTACTAGATACTTGTGAGTTCTGTATCGGTGACATAGTTACGTCTACTGCGTTTTGTTCTTGAGTGTTTTGTTCTTGAGTGTTTTGTTCTTGAATATTATTATTTGAGATATTCGATGTTGAAGATATTTTGGGGTCTTGAATAGGAGCTGAATTTCTTGCAGACATGTTTTCCTGACGGTAGCTAAGAGTCAAATGATCTGTAGTTTACTCTGTTAACACTTATATAGTGTTTACAGAAATTCTAAATGTTTGCACAGAGACGTTTCAATCTTCCGAGAGATGATTCTCACGGAACGACAACAGATGTGAGTGTTCGCATGTGTGCGCCTATAAATAACTAGGCCTACTCGTTCTCGCGGGGGACCGACATGTGATTAACTGTTATTGCTTTACTTTTTCTAGCGTCACTGATTACGCTTAGCGGTGTTACGGCTTTTTGTTAATGGATTATTTTATCTATGTAGGAGGTAAGTTAACCTATTATTGTTTCTGCATTGTGTTCAAGATTGTTGTTTGTCGCGCAAACTAGACACGCTTCATTCGTATTGCGTACTGCTTTGTGTCAAGCAATTTTATCCTGTCACATTTTGTAATTTCCAGAGTTTTAATTATATTTCCCTGTTGTATTTTAAGTTTAAGTGTTTCCAGTTTGTGATACACGTCGCCCCATTGTGATTTGTAGAATATTCCCTAAATATACAGGTAATTAATTTTTCTTGTCATATACATATAGTATCCTAATATATATTAGCTTTTACTATTTATTTATAAGAAGCTCACTCCTTAATCATTACTTAAATTAGCTCAACTATTTGTATAAAAGATCCTACCACTATTTTGTCTAATCATTTAAATACAACCTTTCTCATAATATAAAAACGAAACTAACATATCTTTCAAATATAATCCTAATTATATGAAAACTTTACAAGACTATAAACAAATATTTCGGCAAATCTGCACTTACAAAACACTTATCTTAACTCAAAAATTCTTTTGCTGTATGAATACAACAATATACGTTACAACCATTTTTACCGCCTATTTTATAATAATTTTCTACAGAATAAAACGGCTTTCGATTAGAAATAGTTTAGGTATTGGCAGTGAGTTTTTAGTCTTTTCACGTGATATAAAAATTTGAGGCCAATAAAATAGATGAAGTTCAGGACCATCTCACTAGAGTTTACTAGTGTATTTTGTTGACTATTAATTAAAACTAATGCAGTACATAGCAAACAGCTGATTGATTTATCACTTAACAGATTGCACTACGTTTCTTTTTTGCTTCAAATTTTTACATTACTTGGGAAGTCTATTCTGTGTATAGTCAATGGTTTTATGTTTTTAAGAAAATTGGTATTCCAATATCGCTAAATCACTATACGTATTTAATGTCTCACATTTTGTAACAGATGTTATGTAAACCGCAAATAATCTTTCTTGTGATATATAAAAAAAAAACGATATCATTTACCTCAAATCATTATATTATAATAAAAAATAAATGATTTAGGATAAAAAAATATCTTATAATATACATTGTCCTTGCCAAAATAAATGTATGTTTATTCAAGTTCACCTCATATTTTGTTGTAGTCCTAATGATAATATTAATTACCTTTTGTTGTTTTTGTATTTGTTAAAATATGGACTGATTAAACTGAATAACTAAACATTTTTAAGATTGAAAAAATGGTTACCGATTTCCTTAACTAACAATGTATAAACGTATAACTTGTTCTTCACAAAACGAGATATCTAAATATGACTCTAATACATTAATTATTAATTTGTTTGGATTATTAAAGGTAAAATGTGATTGCCTAAAATTATACTTTGTTTTTTATTGAGGATTGCTTTATTGACATACGTAAAAATTTCTTCACATTCTAATAATCATAATAGAAAACTATATATTTTACTTAACAATTTTTATATTAAATTATTCTTTGTTCTTTTATCTCAAATTGCTTTCTCATGTACATGAATTGACTCACTTTTTGTTATGCTCTTAAATTATAATATTAATCAAGGTACTTCTCATAGTCAGTTGCTGACTTTATTAAAATATAGCTCGATTAAATTGGTTGTTTTTTATAAGATTTTCTTAACATATGACTTGTTCTTCTTAAAATAAACATATAAAATGGTTCTAATACTTAATTGCTTAATGTGTTTTTTTTTCTTCTAGAGTTAACTAACGCAGCTTTACTTGAAACACGGAGTATTCCTGATTTACTACAGGTAATTATTTGAAAAATCTTAGTTTGCGCATAGTTCAGATGGTTTCTATCTCTTTGTAATCTTTCCTTAAAAAATACTTGTACAACTAAATATATTTTAGTTAATAGTATTTATATTAAATTATTCTTTGTTCTTTTATCTCAAATTGCTTTCTCACGTACATGAATTGTTTCACTTTTTGTTACGCTCTTAAATTATAATATTAATCAAGGTACTTCTCATAGTCAGTTGCTGACTTTATTAAAATATAGCTCGATTAAATTGGTTGTTTTTTATACGATTTTCTTAACATATGATTTGTTCTTCTCAAAATAAACATATAAAATGGTTCTAATACTTAATTGCTTAATGTGTTTTTTTTTTCTTCTAGAGTTAGCTAACGCAGCTTTACTTGAAACACGGAGTATTCCTGATTTACTACAGGTAATTATTTGAAAAATGTTAGTTTACGCATAGTTCAGATGGTTTCTATCTCTTTGAAATCTTTCCTTAAAAAATACATGTACAACTAAATATATTTTAGTTAATAGTATTTGTAAAATGCTACGATTGTTATGTGTTTATTTTACTTAGCTCGGTTAATAATTTAATTGACTTCATATCTCGTTCTTGAGACCCAACTAATATTGTTTCTTGTATTATTGAACATTCTTAAGCCAAAAAATATATTTCAAATTGTAATTTGCATCTCCATAAGCATTATAAAATCACGTATCTTGTTTTGGATTATTAAAACGGCTATTCTGCTATCTTTCAAGTAATATTAATAATTAAAGGCTGCTCTTGCTAGTCCCCCAATACACCTCATATCCTTTGATTGGGTGGGTAGACCACGCCTCCAGCAAGCCCCGCCCCCACTACACTACCTGTCCTGTGATTGGCTGAGTAGACCACGCCTCCACTTAGTCCAACCCCCACCAGAGCGCACAAAACTAGTTGAATCTCTTTCAAACTTCACTACATCTTGTGTACCCGCACGGTACACATCATGTTCCGTCTCCTTTCAAACCCTTGTCTATCTAGGGTTTGAATGAATCTTTGTCTATCCTTCCTTAATCATTTGCGTTTCCTGAACATGCGACAGTGGTCAAACCAGGTTGCATTTCTATCCATCCTTAACTTGCGGCAGTGGTCAAACCAGGCTGCATTTAAATCCTTCCTTAACTTGCAAATTGGAAAAACCATTTGCGTTTCCTGAACATGTGACAGTGGTCAAACCAGGTTGCATTTCTATCCATCCTTTACATACAGCAGTGGTCAAACCAAGTTGTATTTAAATCCTTCCTTAACTTGCGGCAGTGGTCAAACCAGGTTGCATTTCTATCCATCCTTAACTTGCGGCAGTGGTCAAACCAGGCTGCATTTAAATCCTTCCTTAACTTGCAAATTGGAAAAACCATTTGCGTTTCCTGAACATGTGACAGTGGTCAAACCAGGTTGCATTTCTATCCATCCTTTACATACAGCAGTGGTCAAACCAAGTTGTATTTAAATCCTTCCTTAACTTGCGGCAGTGGTCAAACCAGGTTGCATTTCTATCCATCCTTAACTTGCGGCAGTGGTCAAACCAGGCTGCATTTAAATCCTTCCTTAACTTGCAAATTGGAAAAACCATTTGCGTTTCCTGAACATGTGACAGTGGTCAAACCGGGTTGCATTTCTATCCATCCTTTACATACAGCAGTGGTCAAACCAAGTTGTATTTAAATCCTTCCTTAACTTGCGGCAGTGGTCAAACCAGGCTGCTCCTTTCAAGCCTTTGCCTATGTTATATGTCTAAAAGTTCTTCATGCATGTACTGTTTAGTCTTTCTTGCTAGATAATTTGCTTTAGTAGTTGTGACTTGGTGTGAGTGGTTTGAATCTTTGCATGTTTTTTTTTAAATAACTAATGACCTTGACCTACTTGTATTATTGGTTA